ACCAACCAGAGCATCCCATCCTTCTGGCTGCAGTAATGGGTTCAGGAATGTCCATGGGACCCAAGCTAGAACTTTTCCCAGTGCTATCAGGAAACAAGCACCCCATTTCTGGGGATTGCTAAGTTGATAAATTGGAGTTATTGCCACCAATGGTGGAGGTGACACTCGTGAGAACTGTCAGAGGATGAAGCCAACAGAGGAAAGCAAGTGCCTAGAGCTGGAGAAAAAGGAAAAAAAAAAGATTCCTAATATCATTTGAGCACCTGGATCCAGCTATGCCTGAAGCTAGATAGACACCCCTCTGCTTTTCAGTTACATTGGCCAATAAGTTCTCTTTCTGCCCAAGCCAGTTGAGCAAAAGCCAAAGTCTCCAGATGGATTTTCTCCATGCTCTGCCTCCAAGGCAACAACAGGCCAGCAAAGGGAAAATAAACCAGGGGGAACAGGGGTCGTTTCCAGTATTTGGAGAGAAGACACTTGAAATACCCCAAATAGAAACTTCCCATTGCCCCTGCCCTGGCGAGAGAAGGATGACTTCCTTAGTTTCCACTTTGGGACTGCAGCTCCAGCCCCCACCCTATGGTGGAGACTATTCATTCAACAAATACCCATGAGAGCCTACTGTGAACCTGACCTTGGAACAGGCAACAGACACAGAAATGGAAAGTGCGGTCGATGCCCCGGAAGAGCTTTCCGTCTAGAGGAATAAAGGCCCACGCAGGGTGAGTGCTTTCACAGGGGTGCACAGGCAGGGGCCACGAGGCTCCCCGAGACAGAGGGCCTGTTCCCACCAAAGGAGAGGGGCGGATGAGGGGAGACTTCCCAGAGGAGGTGATGCCTGAGACATGACCCAAAAGACCCATGGAAGGAAGCCAGGGAATAAAGGTGGGAAGGATTGACTCAGCAGACGTCACTGCGAGAGCGAAGACCTGGAGGCCGGGAGAGCAGAGAGCGTGTGGGAAGTCAAGCCAATTCCAGGTTGCAAGCACAAGGCTGGAGGGAAGAGTGAGGAGGCCGATCCCGCAGGGGTTTGTAAACCACGTCAGAAGCCTGGAGTTTAAAACCGAAGGGTGTTAAGCAGAAGAGTGGGGAACTGGACTTGCGTCTTAGGAAGATCACTCTGCCGGCCGCATCCGAGATGGGCTAACAGGAGCGCGGTTCTGGGGCCTCGTCCCTCTATCCCCAGGATGAAGCACCCCGGGCTGAGAGCGACAGTGGGGGCATGAGGACGGTACTGGGCTGTCACTTACGGAGCACTCAGAGTGTGCGAGGCTCTGTGCTGACCCCTTTATAGGAATCAGCTTCCCAATCCTTTTAACGACCCTGTCGAGGCGGGAAAGCCAGAATTCCGACCCGGACAGGCTGGCTCCAGTATGCCCGGAGCAGTGAGGAGGGGGCCGAGGGGAGAAACATGTAAAGGGTCACCTTGGAAGAACGGGTCTCATTGGGTGGCAGGGCCGGGCCAGTGAGGGAGGAGGGGGTCCCAGGTCTCCCTGGCAGGACCAACTACCCGACTTGAGGGCCCAGGGCAGAATGAAACTGCTGGACCGTTTGTGCAGAGTTTGCTAAGGATCTCAAGATAGTGATAGCAGGGCATTAAACCAAGCGTGGGGCCCTGGGTGACTGCAGAGGTCACACACCCTGCTCCCTGGTTCCTGTCCCAGGTGCCTGGTCAAGGTCTGGCGATTCCAGTGACGGGAGAATCCAGGGGAAGCTCATTTGGGGCGGGGTGGGAGAGTAGAAAATGGGGAGCTGTGTTTGAGGCCTCGAAGGTCGTGTCCAGAAGGCAGATGGTCCTGGGTCTGATGCTCAGAAGTGAGGAGGTCGGGGCCACGAGTCCACGCACAGAGCACGTGGGTTACCAAAGGCCCTTCTGGGTCCAAAGATCAGTGTTGCCTTCGGTACAGGCTCCTAAGCTCCCTGAGCTTGCCAGCTGACCCCAGACGGCGTCTTCCCAGTTCTGTCTCTGGGTTCTGCCACCAGCTCCTCCTGTCGGCTGCCACGGTGGCACCTGCTGCCTCTTGTGGGAATGGCCGGTTCCGGTTTCCCTGAGGGCCAGGAGGTCACTTTGTCAACCCGCCACCTTGGGGCTAGACTTATGCTCAAGCCACCTGGGACGCTGACCTTGGGCACTGTGTTTAAAGATCCTGACTGTTTGCAAACTTTCCCCAGGGCTCCCCCGCGAGGCTGTCCACGCTCCCCTGCTGAGGCCGGCCATCTGCCCAAGGCCGCCCGGCTCTGCGTCCTCCCGGGTTTGCCCCATTAGAACAGCCCCATGGCGGTGCCCCGTCAGCCAGACAGGGAGAGCCTGGCTCCGCATCTCAGTCCCTCACTCATTCATTCATTCATTCATTCATTCAGCAGATATTTGCTGAGGACACACTGTAGGTCCAATGCTGGGGACAAACAGAGAGGTGAGTAACTGCACCAGCGATGAGCCTTCCGGCCCCTTGGGAAGGGTTGAGACAGAGGGCAGGACTAGGTGACGGGAGCTCCCAACTTAAGACTGGCACAGGGCTCCGAGGGAGCACGGTCAGGGCTCCTGCTGTAGCATTTCCTGAGCCCGCTGCGGCAACACTCCTCCAGGCCCAAGAGCTCTTCCGTCAAGGGGCGGGGTCTGTGTTCCCTGCCTTGAACCTGGGCAAACCCCCACCAATAAAATGTGGTAGAAGGTCCACTGAAGGACTTCAGGGCCAGGTCACAGCCTATGGGGTGTAAGGGTGTCCTAGAGGAAGGCGATGGAACTCCCGCCTGCTCTCTGGAAGCCGCCACGCTGGAGAGACCAGCTGGAGACACCATGGTGGGCCTGGGCGCCCAGGTGCTGACAGGCGAGGGAAGAAGCCTTTGCGATGACCCCAGCTCAGCCACCCTTTGACTGCAACCTCGTGAGAGACCCGAGCAGACTGCCCAGCTGAGCTGCTCCAAATTCCTGATGCACAGAAACCCTTAGAGACAATAAGCGACTATTTTTGTTTTAAGCCACTAAGTATTGGGATAATCTGTTGGCAGCCACAGTAACTGGAACAGTGGTGAAAGGTGGGGGTGAGGGTGGGTGGACAACAGTGTTCTGGACAGAGAAAGCAGCATATGCAAAGGTCCTGAGGTGAGAAGGAGGTACTGAAATGGAGGTATAGAGTTGGCAGGGTTGTCCCCCAGGCTTTCCAGAACTCTTCTCTGGATCCTACCTACATTTCTTCTGTGGACAGGTAATTCCGTTTCCTCTTCTGTGCAGAGGGCCACTGGCGCAATTACCAGGCCCGTGTCTATTTAACTAAGCCTATGCAGGCAAGGAGATTACCTTCGTTCACTCACTCTTTCGATCAATAAGATGAAAGGCGTTGCCGGTACCAGGAGCTTCCCTTTGTCATCTGGGAGCCCCAGAGGACCCCTCTCCAGTGCATAGATGAGGAGAACGAGGCTGAGGGGTGAGTGTCCTGGCCCACGGCCCCAGGGGGTAACTGGGAGGCATGGGATGGGCTCTGGGCTCAGCCTGGTGGTGGAGCCTGCCCACCGTCAGTTCGGGTCAAATACCAACAGGCTGTGTGACTTTGGGCAAACTGCTCCCCTGCTCTGGGGTTTGGTTTTCTCCCCTGTGACACGGGGAAAACAAGAATGCTGGCCTCGCTGGGATTACACGCGGCTCAACCCACACACCCCTATGACAGCCGCCCTCTCCAGGGCCGGCCGTCTGGGCCGCGCGCTGTGATAAACTTGTGGCTGCGTTAACGCGCTTCTTCCTCGCAAGGCCGGAGGTGCAGTGACCCCGTTCACAGCCGAGACAGTGACGGCAGGTGGGCACGCAGGGCTCCAGCACACAGGAAGCTCCGGGAACGCCGGTGGCTGATAACCAGCTGCTTTCCTTTTCCTGCCATAGCCCCACACACCTGGGGCGACGTTCTCAGTCCCCCGGATGCGGCCCTAGACCACTCCCCCTCCCTCCCCCCCAAGCAGCCTGCCTGCCCTCAGCATTGGGGAAAACAAAGGGAAAAAAAAACAATACCACACAGACGGACTGGCCCCCATGCTGGGAAAACGAGCAGAGAAAGCCGGAAGGCAGCCCACCCAGGAGAGGCCCAACCAGCTCCCGGGCACCTCCTGCCCAGTGACCATGTCCCCCAGGGACAAACCCCTGCCCTCGTGGGTGTTACGTTCCTGAGGGTTGGGGGAGGGGAGCTACATTATAACTGTGATGCTGACAACCACAATAAAAAATATTTATTTAGTGCTCACCCTGTACCAGCACTGTTCTGACTCACTTAATTTTCACACCCTGTGAAATGGATGATATATTTCCTTTGGTTCCCCAAGAGGAAACAGAAGCACAGAGAGGTTAAGTGACTTGCCCAAAGTCACACAGCTGGTAAGCGGTGGAGCCAGGATTTTTACCAGTAAATGGGTCAACGAGTAAACCAAAAATTCCTGAGTCCCCATGCTCAGCACATTCCTCGCACAAGAGATGGGGCTTACCCAAGATGTAGAGGCCCAGAGATGCGAAGCTGCCCACCCAGGGTCTCATGGCCAGCAGTGGGGGCGGGATTTGGAGCCAGCCACTCCAGGCTGGCCAGCCACCACTGCACCCCAAGCTCTTCTCCCCGCACCCACCTCCCTGCTCTAGCCAAAGGCGGCCCCAGAACAAGCTGGCCTGGGACAAGACAACCTCTCATTACTGTCACAGCAACCAAGCCAGGGCCACCCTGGAGTCCAGCGTCCCCCAGGCCCCGAGGGAGAAGGGAGGATGGGAGCCAGCTCCCGGCTGGGGCGCCCACTTCCCTGTCCTGGCAAGGATTTTCTCTGCCTCTAGGAACAGACTGGCCTGGCTGCGTCCTCCCCAGCCTCACCCCTCTGCCCCTCCCTTTGTCTCCCTGGGGGTCACTTCGCTGGTGTTCCCAGCGAGCTGCTAACATGGACCCTGAGCGGGGAAGGTGGAGGGAGGGAGGGACGGGGGCGGCGTGGGGGGCTGAAACTTGAGATCCCAGCCTTGGCTGGGGGAGGCTGGGGAGAGACAGAGAGACAGAGACAGGAAGAGAGGCTGCTGTTGCTTTTGGTTTTCTGAGGCAGGCAGCACTGTGTATGCATGTGTGTGAGTGTGCACGCACGTGTCTGTGTCTCTTGTTTTCTTGCCTTCTCTCTCGGAGGGAGGCCAGGCCCCCGCTGGATAATAAAAGGACTCAGAGGAGGGCAGAGCAAGGCCGGTGCACGGCAGGACAGACAGACAGGGCAGTGTGTGGGCAAAAGAGAGGAGGAAGGAAGGGAAGGGAAACAGAGGTGAGGGGTGTCGGGGCGGGAGCGGGGGGCGGTGGAGGAAGCCGCAGCTGTGGAGTTTGGAGCAAGTATAAATAGCCGCCTGGACACGGCGCTCGGCCGAGCAGGGTCTGCAGCCGCGGCTCTGCGGGCAGGCCTGTCCACGCTCGGCCACACAGCACATCCCGGGCACGGAGGGGGCGCTGGCAGGCAGAGTCCCTGGGGGCTCTGACCAGACACCCCTCGCCATCGCCACATCTCTGGATGCCCTCCTGGCCAGCCATGCTGCTGGGCAGCCTCCTCCTTATGGTGGCCACCGTGACTGCAGCCCAGCGGAGAGGGCAGGAGGCGGGCGGGCGCCGGCGGGCGCACCGCGTCCAGCACGGCCAGTGCAGCTACACCTTCGTGCTGCCTGAGCCCTGCGCGTCCGAGCCTGAGGCCTTCGGGGGCTCCAACAGCCTCCAGAGGGACTCGCCGGCCGCCGCCACACTGAACCTCGGGGACTGGTCAGCCCAGCGGGTGCGGCAGCTGGAGAAGATGCTGGAGAACAACACGCAGTGGCTGCAGAAGGTAAGAGCTGGGCCTGCAGAGGGGGTGCTGGGTGGCTCTGGGGTCTGTCTCAATGCGGAGGGGGAGTGGCCACCCCAGAGGCCTTCCCTGGGCACAGAGGGCCAGGCTGATGGGACCCTTGTCTCTGAATTGTACGGATTGGGATAATGAGGACCAGAGAGGGGCAGGGATGAGCCTGAGGCCACACAGCAAGACTGGGCAGAGTCAGAACTGGAAACCTGGCTCCCTAACAGCCATTCATTCATTCATCTGATAGAAACTTGCTGAGCACTGACCACAGGCCTGGCCCGTCCTAGATGCTGGGATAACGCAGTAAACAGAACAGTGGGTGCCCTTCTGGACTAGTAGGGGAAAGAGGTAGAAAGAGATGAATGATAAATATCTACTGTGTCAGAGGGTGAAGCAAAATGAAGGAGCGAAGAGGGCAAGGAGTGACTGGCGTGGCTATGTGAGGTCAGATAATTGAGGAGGACTTCTCAGAGGAGGTGACATTTGAATTCAGAAAACAAGTGAAGTGATGGAGCCGCCCAGGCAGGGACCCGGGGAGGGCTTCCCAGCGCAGGGGCAGCAGGAGCAAAGGCTATGGGGTGGGATGCAGTGGGGCGCCTGGGGGACAGCAGGGCGGCTGGAGCAGAGAAGGAGGGGGAGGCAGGGGTGGAGGATGAGAGCTGAGAAGGGAGGGGAGGGGAGGGCACGTGTCGGGCCTCAGGGGCCACTGGAAGGACGCTGGGTCTTGCTCTGAGCGACTTGGGAGACACTGCAGGGTTTTGAGCTGGGAAAGACACACCAGCTTCAGTTTTAACGGAAGAGGCCATAGAGGGCAGGATGGATGCTGGGAGCCCAAGGAGGAGCTGCTGCGGCCTCAGGCAAGAGACAACGGAGGCCTGGAGCAGGACGGGCGGGGAGGGCGTGTGTCCCATCAGATTCTGGAATATTCTGAAGGGTGAGTTAACAGGCCAGCCCCGCTGATGAATTGGATATGGGGTGGCAGAGGTCTAGGAGTTGAGGACTCCACCACCGTTTCAGCCCAAGGCCAGGGCTGCTCTAGGACATTCTGTCCTCATTCTTTTAGCAAAGACTCTGAGCACCTACTGTGTGCCAAGCCCTAGGTGAGGCATAGAGGTGCAGAGGCGACGGAGGTGGGCTTGGCCGTGGGTGGTCTTGGCCGTGGGTGGGCATGGGGGCAGGAAAGGCGTCCTGCGGGGTCCAGGATGGGGCTGACCGGAGCCCCTAAGTAGAAGTGACTGAGGGAGAGCAAGGGCCCCAGGCCCCAGGCACAGGAGCTGGTCTGGGTGGTGGCGTGGGGTGGTGGGAGCAGACGGATTCCTGGAGCCAAGAACGTGTTAACTGCAGACTGTGGGGTGAGAGCAGAAGGGAAAGTGTGTTCCCCAGGTGCCTCTCCAAGGAGTCGCCCCTTCTCAGCAGTGGTTTCCAAATTGTTCACATCACGTTCACTCCCCGGATGCATGCGTATTTATTTAGTACTTATGCACACACCCCTTATTAATATAATACATACAGGGTATGACACAAATGAAGACAGAACTTTAAAAAGATGACAGGAAATCATATGAATTGAAGTTCTGGTACTTTCCTACTGTTTTCTGAAGAATGGCCTTGTGCACACACCCTGGGTCGATCCATCCCCGAGATGCAGAGGCTGCACCTATGTAACCAACCTGTGTCGTGCACACTTGCATACACACTCGTGCACGTGCACACTTGACCTCCCCTCTCACTCCTGCCTTGCCCCCTGTCTCCTCAGCCCTCACTCACTGTCTTGCCCACCTGCCCTGTAGCGTGTCCAGCCTGCCCACCCTCAATCCCCCCTCAAGGAAGCTCTTGGCCTCACACACTGGAGCTCCGTGCTGCCCTGAAATCTGTGTGTGTCTCTTCAGGCAGCTGTTTCTCGCCCCTTAAGGGTCATTCAAAATCTCACCTCCTGGTTGAGGCTCCATCTTCAGCCCCCTTATCCTCTCACCAGACCACAGGCCTCCTACTTCAGGGAGAAATGGGGCTGAGGGGACAGATACCTTGCAGCTGCCTGCCCCACACCTGCAGATTCACCCATGCACCCACCAGTTCCCAGAGCCTTTCTCTGGCTCAGAAGGAAGGGGCTCCTCCACAGGCCAAGGCTGTTCTCCCTCCTAGGCTGCAGGTCCCATCGCCTTCAGCCCCTCAACCTCCTCAAACCAGCCATCCCCTCTTGCGTACCTGACAACTCCTCCCTCTCTGCTGGTCCTTCCTCTCAGGGTTTAGTCTCATCCAAATATCTCCCATTAGAAAAGGAGGAGGAAGCAGAGTGGGGGCAAGCCTCTTCTCCAGCCACAGCCCCTCAGATTCCGGCCTGGCTCTCAGAAGTCCCCACACTCTGCTCCACCTCTTCACTTCCCATTTCTTCCTTCCCCTAAGGCCACCTCCCACATCCCATTTCCCACTTCTGATGGCCACGGCCCAATCTTCAGCTCACTTGACCTCTTGACAGATTTGACATTGCTGACCAACACCATCCTTCCAGAAGCCATCTCCATCAGCAAGGCCTCATCGACAAAACACAGCTGCTCAGACCACTTTCCCTACCTCCCTGGCCCCACCCTGGACCGGCCGCCTCCAGCTCCTACCCGGACAGTCATCACAGCCAGTGGGCTCCCGTTCCCACCCTGGCCCCCACAGTCCATTCTTCACTCAGCAGACAGAGGGATCCCGTTGAAACCTAAGTTAGATCTTGGCCCTCTTCTACTCAGAAACTCCCAGGACTCCCGTCTCTTCAGAACAAGAGCGAAAGTCCTTCCTGCCTGCAGTACAGCTGCCCCTAGACACCCGCACGGCTCACGCCTCACCTCCCTCAGGTCTCTGCTCAGATGTCACCTCAGAAAGGCCCTCCCTGTCCACAACCATTTAAAATAGCCACCCACCTCCTGTCACCCTCTGTCCTGTCACCCGGCTTTGGTTTTCTCTCTTAACACTTCTCCCATCTGTTCTTAAAAGCATTTCTCTAGGTCTGTGAGCTCCAAGGGGGCCAGGGACTGCATCTGTCTGGTTCGCTAGTGGGTTCCCATGGCCAAGAACAGTGCCTGGTACACAGTAGGTGCTCAATACATGGCTGTCAAATGCATGGATGCATGGATGCGTGGGTGTGCAGATACATAGATGCATGGATGCGTGGATATGTGGCTGTGTGGATGTGTGGGTGTGTAGATGCTTGGATGTACAGATATGGGGACGCATGGATGCACAGATGTGTGAGTGTGTGGACATGTGGGTGTGTAGTTGTGTAGATGCGTGGATGAGTGGACGCATGGGTGTGTAGATGTGTAGATGCGTGCATGCGTGGATGTGTGGATGCGTGGATGCGTGCATGCTTGGATGTGTAGATGTGTGGATGCATGGATGTGTGGATGTGTAGATGCATCAGTGCATGGATGCATGGATGTGTGGATGCGTGGATGTGTGGATGTGTGGGTGTGTAGATGCATGGACACTGGATGTTCCTCCCATCTCCCAGGTGGCTCCTACTCCTCCTCCTCCCCTGAAATGTTGATGTTTCCCAGGACTGAGTCTTGACACTTTGTTTCCTCTCATGCTTCGCGGCACTGCCCCCGCCACTCCTGCAGCACCATCTCCAACCTGCTCCGTGACGACACCAAATTGGCGTCTGATGGGCTCCAGAGCCCCAAATCCATGACCCTGCCCCACCTCCGGGCATCTCTTTTCTGAGGGCCCATGGGGTCTCAACTCCAAAGCTGCCTGAAACTCGACTCTTCCCTCCTCTGCCCACCTCTCTCTGTTTAAGGTGTTACCACCAGCCAGCAGGGCTTCCGCGGCCCAGGGGGCCCTCCACCCCACCTCACGCCCAGGCAGCAGGTCTCATCCATCCTATCACCTCAGCTTCTCTCATTGGCATCCATCCTCCTCTGTCCCCGGGTGCTGCCCTGGCTCAGGCCTCGTCACCTCCCACCTGGCTTCTCTACCCCAAGTCTGACCCTCTCGTCCCTCTTTGACTCCCCTGGGTGCCTGGTGCTCGGGCAACATTGGCCGAGCCCAGGGATGGATTGAAATCGATGGCTTTCGGGTCAGAAGGTCACCCAGCTCACCTCTTCAGCCTGCAGTGGAATGTCCTCTCCAGGTGTTCGTCCCCCTAGCCCAACAGTCCTGGGCAGGGGTCACCATAGAGCACCATGGAGCAAAGAGCACTGATGTGGGAGTCAGGCAGACCTGAGTTCACATCCCGGCCCTGGACTTAATTGCCACGTGGCTGTGGATGAGCAATTCTCAGTTTCCCCATGTGCGAAATGGAGAAAAGAACAGGATGTCAGGGGGTGGCGGGCAGAGTGGTGGGACGGCTCACTCACTGCTCTCAGCCTGCCGCCCGGCTGCCGCACATGCTTCGTGAAGACATCGGGGAGCCCACCCAGGCAAGAACACAGTAGATTGACGGACTTTTATGTGATTCTGCATCATCTCTATTTTGAGCCCTGCACGCCTGGGTGGGGAAGCTCAATCTTGGTCAGTCCAAGGGTGGCAGGCAACCTCGGGGCTGGGACTGTCACTATCCAACTTGGTGTTCTTGAGGGGTCCCCAATTCTGCTTGGTCTCTGGGAGGGTCCAAGCAGGGGTTTGTTGCGCCATCTCCTGGGTAAGGGGCCCATGGGGTTGAGCACTCCCTTCATGCCCCTTGGTGTCGGGTCACCACCAAGTCACCCTGTGCCCGTGGAGCCTGCCACAAGATCAGACCCATCGTACTGAACACACCTGGCAGTCACTTTCCCCTGGGTCCTGTCACCTCCTGGGGCAGCAGCATAGCCTGGAAGGTGAGAGTCCCAACTCTGGAGCCCAACTGTTGGGATTCGAGACTCGTTCTGTCCCTTCCTAGCTGTGTGACCTGGCACAAGTTGCTTCACCTCTCTGAGCCTCAGTCTCCTCACCTGTAAGATGGGATGACAACATTACCCGCCTCAATGAGGATTTAATGAGATGATGTGCATGAAGTCCTTGGCCCG